AGAACACCATCCCAACCGTGAAGCATGGAGGTGGAAACATCATTCTTTGGGGATGCTTTTCTGCAAAGGGGACAGGACGACTGCACCGTATTGAGGGGAGAATGGATGGGGCCATGTATCATGAGATCTTGGCCAACAACCTCCTTCTCTCAGTAAGAGCATTGAAGATGGGTCGTGGCTGGGTCTTCCAGCATGACAACGACCCGAAACACACAGCCAGGGCAACTAAGGAGTGGCTCCGTAAGAAGCATCTCAAGGTCCTGGAGTGGCCTAGCCAGTCTCCAGACCTGAACCCAATAGAGAATCTTTGGAGGGAGCTGAAAGTCCGTATTGCCCAGCGACAGCCCCGAAACCTGAAGGATCTGGAGAAGGTCTGTATGGAGGAGTGGGCCAAAATCCCTGCTGCAGTGTGTGCAAACCTGGTCAAGACCTACAGGAAACGTATGATCTCTGTAATTGCAAACAAAGGTTTCTGTACCAAATATTAAGTTCTGCTTTTCTGATGTATCAAATACTTATGTCATGCAATAAAATGCAAATTAATTACTTACAAATCATACAATGTGATTTTCTGGATTTTTGTTTTAGATTCCGTCTCTCACAGTTGAAGTGTACCTATGATAAAAATTACAGACCTCTACATGCTTTGTAAGTAGGAAAACCTGCAAAATCAGCAGTGTATGAAATACTTGTTCTCCCCACTGTATATACAGGTCAGTGCCAGTACCTTATTCAATGTGCAGGGGTACTGGAGTGGTTGAGGTGGTTGTGTACATACAAAGTGACTGGTAGTATGATATACATGTAAACAGGGCTGAAAAGTGACTGGTAGCAGGAATATAAAATACTTATAATATACTAATGGTAATATATACATAGAAACAGTAGTAGAAGATAAAATATAAATATTAATGGTAATGGCAATCAATAATCAATGGACAGCAGCATAATGGAGTAATAAATCAAATCAATAATCATATTAGCAGCAGCGTAGGTTGAGGGGTGGGTAAAGACCTGTGGATGGGCATAGAGTCATTGTGGATAGTATGTGGGAGCGGGAGAGCAGTAGTTGTTAGCCATTTTACAGTATTTTGGCCAGGGGATAGAAGCTGTTTAGGAGTCTGTTGGTCTGAGACTTTATGCACCGGTACCACTTGCCGGACGGGAGCATGGAGAACAGTCCATGTCTCGGGTGGCTGGAGTCTTTGGCAATTTTTCTGGCCTCTCTCATCCAGTGGCAGAGGGAGGTGTTCAGTCCCAGGGTTTCGAGCTTGGTGATGAGCTTGGAGGGCACTATGGTGTTGAATGCTGAGCTGTAGTCGATGAACAGCATTCTCACATAGGTATTCCTCTTGTCCAGGTGGGAGAGGGCAATGTGGAGTGCAAATTGGAGTTGGTCTAGGGTGTCTGGGATGATGGAGGTGATGTGTGCCATGACTAACCTTTCAAAGCACTTCATGATTACAGATGTTAGTTGCTACAGGACGATAGTCATTGTGGCAGGTAGCATTACAGTTCTTGGAACAGGAATGATGGTGGTCAGCTTGAGACTTGAGGATTACAGACTGGGACAAGGAGAGGTTGAAAATTACGTGAAGATGCCTGACAGCTGGTCAGTGCATGCTCTGAGAATGCGCCATGAAATACCGTCCGGCCCCGCGGCCTTGCGAGTGTTGACCAGATTAAAAACCTTAATTACGTCGGCTTCGGAGAGCGAGATCATCCAGTACTATGGTGCGGTGGGGGCCCTAGTGGACGGCTCTGTGTTGTTTTTGTCGAAGCGTGCATAAAATGCATTGAGTTAGTCTGATAGAGAGGCATCGTTGGGCAGATCACGGCTAAATCTATCTTTGTAATCGGTAATGGACTGTAGCCCCTGCCACGTGTCGAGCGTCGGAGCCGGTGTAATAGGATTCCACTTTGTTTCTATATTCTCCTTTTGCCTGTTCGATGGCTCTGCTGAGGTCGTAACGGGACTTATTGTACGCGTTCGTTTCCTCAGTCGTAGCCTCTATGTTGGCTGCGATAGCCCTGTGTGCGGTAACTCTGTCCTATAGTTTAGCGCATACCTCTGTGTTAATCCAGGGCTTTTGACTGGGGAAGCAGCTGTGGGGACAACGTCAGTGATGCATTTCCTGATGAAGCCCGAGGCGGAGGTGGTTAGCTCGTCGATGCTATCAGCAGAGTCCCAAAACATATTCCAGCAAAGCAGTCCTACAACATAGCCTCCAATTCGGAGGACCATTTCTCTACGGAGCGCGTCACGGTACTTCCTGTTTGAGCTTTTGTTTGTACACAGGAAGCACACCCCTCTGCGTCTGGCAAACCCCTCACCCCTAAACCGACATTACACAACTTCCAAAGCAATAATCAGTACAAATACAACAACCATATTCATAGTTTCATACATAAAGTGCGGTTATATGGAGCTACCGTACATTTGTAGTGCTATATACGGACTGTTTCTGCTTGTGTATCAGTATTGCAGCCAAGTTTATAGTACTGAGTCAGACTCAATACCTTACCTAAGCCATACTATACTCAACAGGACCAAGTTTGATCAAGAGTGACCGAGTTTGGGTGTGTGCATCTGTAACAATGTGTGTGTGTATGTGTCAGTGTGCTTTCGTGACCTACAGTATTCTGTGCTGTGAGAGAGTAAATTGGTAAGTGCATATCTGGTTTCATGCGTGTGTGGTGGCTGAAACTACTGATAAAACCTGCACCACCCGATCTCATCAGTCCTCCTCACACAATGCTAAAGCATAGTTGAGCAATCCCAACCCCAAACAAAAACAAAGTAATAAAAAACTAGCCGCCATTCATTATTGGTACTATCCATGTGAAAAGAATAGCCTGTGAGCCATTGGAGAGGCGTACTAGGTAATTCCAGAGAGCGGAGGTAACTGGTGCAGATAACGAAAATGCTCTTGGTTTTTCCCTCTTAGTGGCTGGCATGGACACAGGAAACATGCTAGGCTCCATTACTGAACACTTGATGATCCAACCCTGGCAGGGTTGAGGAGGGAGGAGAGGCACAAAGTAATGATATCAGCTAGCTACATCAGTGTTTACACTGTGCTAGTCCTGGAGGACCCCTATATGTGCTGGATTTAATTCTAAACTGTGCTATCTCAGCACATTCTCAAGGGAGACACCTTCGTCAGAGGGATAGAGCTAAGTGAGCCAGGCAAGTTAAGAGAGGGACTGCATATTGTGCTGTATCATCATTAATTGGCTGCATTCAACATCTGATTAATGTGCAAAATTAGACTGTATCCATTATGCTATCCATCCATTCTACATGAAGCAGGCTGGAGCCATCAAGTAGTAATCTCAGAGCAGTTCCACGACTTCCTATGACGTTACACAAGCACAAACAAGCCTCCTGCAGGCCAGGCATAATGTGATCCAGCTAAAAATAAAAACCTGTGTGACTAAATAGCTTGATCATTAATCAAATCTCCCTCCCCCACGAGTCAACCACAGGAGGGAGGGATAGAGTGACGGAGGGAGGGAGGGAGAGGGAAATGGATTGTGTGGGTTCAACCTTTGCATCGTGTGTTTACCCAACAGAGTCAATGAAATGATAACTGGAGCCAAGTGTGCTAGAGCATGGCGGTGCGAAGCATGACCAAACACAAGGAATGCTCCTTAGTTAACGGCATTTCCCAAAGGGAAGACTTTAAAATATTTACCCCCGCACTACAAACCATCGACCCAGAAAAACTTAATACAGCCTGATTTAATCCCCCAGATCAGACACAAAGAAAGAAGCCAAATTATGTTTGAAGAGCTCTTGAACATTCCCCATCTCTGAACAGAAGTATACCTTTGTTGGTCATTTTGTTTGGTCTGATCTAACCTTATGTAGTCAGGTTTTTAAAGGTATTAAGGAGTTTAAAGACTTGAAAGTTGAGCTATATATTTTTTACAGTACACAAAACAATTAAGTTAAGGTGTCTTAATACATCAGTGGGTGCACTCGCCACCACACGCTCCGAACCGCCGGCAGGGCGAAGCCCCCTGCCCCCTGCCCAAAGAGATTTTCCAAGGACGGGAAGGACCAAGCCCCTCTGGACACCCGGGCGGGCAAGGAAGCGAGCGCACCCACAATCATCAGGACCAGCACACATGCCCTCTACAGCTTGATTTATTTAGGTTATGTTCTATGGCCCTCAAACTCAACTCTGGACCTCAAGCCAATTCCACTGCGTTTTTTCAGGGACTGATTTAGACCTGGGACACCAGGTGGGCGCAATTAATTATCAGGTAAAACAGAAAACCAGTAGGCTCCGGACCTTGTAGGGTAAGAGTTGAATACCCTTGATCTATGGTTTACACGTGTTCTGATAGTGTCCCAGAGACCATCTAGTCCATTGTCATAGTCCTGGAGGCCGCTCCTTCCATAGTCCAAGAAGTCCTTTAACCAAGTGTCCGTGCTGAAACACTGAGGTTTACGCACTTTCCAATCATAAGAATTGTCCATTTTACGGATAGTTGGGCCCGAGCAATGATGTGTTGCGTGGTTCTAGGTTGGATATTACCCACCTTACTCCCTAATAGGCACACTACAGGAAACAGTGGGATACATACATTCAAGATTTCAGACGACATATCAACTAACTCAGTCCAGAATCTTTTGAAAGCTGGACATTTGCAGAACAGATGCATTAGTGTACCGACCTCACCACAGCCATGCCAACACAAGTCTGAAAGGCTTTGCTCCAACTTTTACAACTTGTGTGGTGTGATGTATGCCCTTTGTAAGATCTTCATTTAATCCATTCTTAATCAAGATGAGAAAATAACGATGAAGCTCTGTGAAATGTCTTAGTGTTCTGATTTGAAGCATCTCTCTTTGGTGTAGAATGCACATTTGACTTTGGTTCTGTTTCCCGGGAAACACACTGTCAAATTCTAAACTCTTACAAGTTTATTTATGATGTCATCATAATATAATGAAATTCCACTAATATGTTTTGATCTAAAGTTGCCTTTCAGTAATTTGGCATTGACAGACACTCTGGACAGACTATTGAGGGGTGTGTGTGTCCATGGTTACTAACCTGGGTCATCTTGGCCAGGTCCAGGGAGGGCCGTGGTTCCTTAGCATCCTCTGGTCTCCTGCGCTTCATACCGATCTTCTTATTGTTCAGGACGCAGGGCTGGGACTTGCTCCGCGACAGCCCCCCAGTCCCCCCTGCTCTCTGCCCAGCGCGTCTCTCAAGCTGTGGGTTGCAGTCCGGTGAGCTGGCCCCCTCTCTGTGGTGGTCTGGCAGGCTGATCTGCTCATGGGACAAGGAGAGGGGCCTGAGGGAGTGGTGGTTGGAGGGGGAGGTAGGGGAGGCAATGAACAGGGGGTGAAGGGGCAGGTGGTGGTTGAAGCAGGGCAGCTCCAGGGTGCCGTCTGTGGGGTTGTTGGAGCTGGATGGCAGGCTGAAACTGGAGCTCCGCTGCATGGCAGGAAAATGAACCCCTGAAAAACTTCCACCACCTCCTATTCCACCTCCTCCTGAGCAGCGCTGCACACTCCCCCCGCTGTGGCACCTCCTCTTCTCCACCGCCGTCCACACTCGCGACCCCTGAGGTCTCCATGACGACCGGCAGCCCCCAAACTCTTCGGAGGAGAGTGAGAGTGAGCGGCACTGGCGCTTGCTAGGGGGCGCCGTGGCAGCTGAGGTGGAGGTGGCGAGGGCCAGGGACTGGGTGGCTGCCAGCTTGGCATCGCCCAGGTTGAGATCTCGGATGAGGCTGGTGATGGCGGTGGCGGTGCCCACCTCATGGCCCCAGACCCGGCTACTCCGCTGGCACTCCTCGGGCAGAACGTCCCACAGGCTCTCCAGACTGGCGCTGGACTGGCAGGGGGTCCCTCGCTGGATGGCACAGCCTCTGCCCAGGTCCAGCCACCTGTCTGCCTCTGGAACACAAGGACACAGAATAAATACATGAACACACACATATGAACAGACAATTAAACTCAGATATGTTATATACTGTATATATAATCTAATTTGACTTAATGTAATTTCCAAGTGGGCATATAAATCCAGACAGAACAGATGGGAAGCTTGTCATTTGAAATCATTAGTATCATAATACCTCATAATGCTCCTCCTATATTACTTGTCCCCCCTCTGGCAACATAAGCTCCCATTTGCCATCTCATGGGGTTTTGGAAATCCCACTTTATCTCCTCTACAGAGGCTATGTCAAGATAAAGTGTAGCTTTAAGTGAGGCAATAACGACAGGGAAAACAGGGCTAAGCTTCCAGGGTGAGGTTCAATGTGCAGTGTGCATCTTCTTCACGTAGGGCCTCACCTTAGGATGATCAACCCAGTAAATAACCACACACGCATGCACATGCACACACACACACACTTCAGAAAACAATAGACAGTAAGCAGTAGCAGCTCTTGATTAGTAAGACAGTACAGTGTGTCCTGGTGAGTATCGTCAAATCTGTAGAAACTCTAAAAGAGAGAGATGGAGCACATTACTCAAGGTCTAGATTCTCGGTAAAGGTGGTTTAAGACAGGATAGTAAAAAACAGCTAGCTATAGACAGGGGATTGGTTCAACCCAAGCTACACTGCTTGACAGTACACTATCTGAAACAGAGCTGCTAGCTCCTGAGTTGGGTAGATCAACAGTTGCATTATGGCTGGCAGGGAAATAGTCTGAGCTTATTGGTATTACAGGATTCTACAAGCAACCTGGCAGCCTCTACTAGACACGTAAATGTCAAATGACAACATACGTGTGTCATTAATCAATCACATTTTTTATTATATAGCACTACAGTTGTCACAGAACGCTTCAGTTGTCACAGAATGCTTAGCTAACCAAACTTGGCACGGTGGTGTTTGGCCAACAACGGTACCAGTCACATAACAAACACTGACTTTCAGGTCTATGAACTGGCCAATGTTGTGCCACTTGTTTGACTGTTGATGGGGGTTTCTCCAACTGAAAAGTTAAGTGCAGACAAGTTTAGACTGAAGGAGAACTTCCAAAAGTCCTCTGACTGGGAAATATGTCTTAGTCCGAAGGCTGGTTTGGTTAGAAAGATAGGCTAGCTAGGCTAACTATTCTTTGATGGTGGCTTCCTCCATCAATGACAGAATTGCAGCCTGACTTGATTGGTTTAAATTCAGACAGAACTTGTCAAATGACTATGCCAACATTACTCATCACAGGCACAAAGGAAGAATATGACAGTCCAGTGGGCAAAACACCACACTGGTTCTGGCTAACGTAGCCGCTACTGATCTCAAAGCTAGCACAGAACTCTATTGATACCCAATTGGCAACCAGGGGCTCATCTCTGTCCAAATCCATCCCTTCAAATGCTACTCTCTTTGGTGGGCAGAAGTATTTTTCAGTCCCAAAGAACAATGGACGGGGGCTATGACATGACCTGACAAGAATGTCAAGAATACAAAATGACAATAGGAGAAAGAATCTAAAAGAAATAGCCTCGCACAGTGAAAAATGTGTTCAGCAAAGGACTGAAATCCCACCAAGAGCCATATAATAGTATACAATGTCTTGTAATGTCAGCTGTAACAACAGATACAGTAGTTGTAGGACATATGCAATGTGCATCCCTTTGTTTTACCCCCTCTCCGGTACATGGGACAGATGACAGGGCGGGTCTAATCGGACTCTTATATACAGTAGCTTGTCTTTCAACACATGGGGTAAGGAGTGTGATATTCAATGAGCCAAGGAAATCATTGACAAAGGCAACACAACACTCAATTACTTTTAAGTCCCATGAGTGCTCCCGAGTGGCGCAGCGGCCTAAGGCACTGCATCTCAGTGCTTGAGGCGTCACTACAGACCCCCTGGTTCGATTCCAGGCTGTATACCGGCCGTGACTGGGAGTACCATAGGGCGGCACACAATTGTCCCAGCGTCGTCCGGTGTAGGCCGTCATTGTAAATAAGAATTTGTCCTTAACTGACTTGCCTAGTTAAAGGTTTTATAAAAAAAGTGCACAGCTCTGTGTGAAGGCAGGTGCACACTGGACATGAAAGAAAAAGAGAGGAGAGTGACAGAAGGGGATCAGCAGAAACAGTTATAGAGGAGGGGAGCTTATAACAAGACATAAAGCTGGTGAACAACACAAAGAAAATGAAGATAAAGCCTGATAGAAGACGGTAAGAAACGTAATGGTGAGGATAACAGAGCAAAGGCCATAGTCTGAGGGATGGATGCACTCACCCACAGTGCCACAGGAGAAGAGGGTAGTCCCTCTGCTCATGGTGTGGAGCTCACGCTGTTGATGGAGAGATGGAGGAACAGACAAAGAGGACATGGCTTAGACTATCAGACTCTAAACATGTCCGTACATAACTGTTCAAGCATCGAACATGAAGGAGCACCTGCGCACACACACACACCTATCCCCTATCCCTGTTTGTCCTAGAATGTACAGAACAATTCAGAAAAGAGAACAAACAGGGTGGTGCAGGCAGGCTCATAGAGAAATAGGGTAAAGGGACAGAGTCATTAACGTTACTGGGAGACACACTAGGTTCATCGTCACAACAATACAGTGTTATGTCAGCGCTGCTAGACACCTTTCAGTACACACTGGTGGCTATAAAGAGGTAAAACTACTCAAATGGGCCCCATTTCTGTTGAAGCCTTTTCACCCAAATTGCTTGATTTGAAAAGCAGCCCTTGTATGTCATCGACTGCTGAGATAGAATAATATACAATTTATTTAGAAGGGCCAACCTAGAGGCCATATCAATTAATTTAAGACCTTGGTGGCAAGCACCCTGCCAAAAACTACAATACGCTGTACTGTAGAGAAGGCAGTAGAGAGCCCAAGACTCATGTTTCCAAGGTCAGTTGAGAGAGAGGCACCTGTAAGGTACTTGTTACAGTGCTTTAGTTATAGGTCTAGCAGAGTTGTACTCACCAGCAGTAATTCAGTGTCCTTGGACCTTACATCATCGACACCCTTCTTATTTTCCAGTGTTTTTGAGAATATGATCACCATGGTAGGGCGCAGCTCTGCTCCAGTCCGTTCCAGTGCAGGAGAAGGCCGTGGGAAGCCATCTTAGGTGAGGGCGGAGGGAAGACGGTCTTTTGGGCAGGTTGGATGGGCAGATGACCACCTTCCATCTGCAGAGTGTCCTCGGGTGGTAGGGGAGCGTCTCTCACTCTTCAGCCATCCCTGTGCAACAACAGACAGAAAGAGAGATGTGGTGAGCACACATTACACACACATATTTACAAATCCATAAAGTGCACGCCTGCGTGAGTGCATGTGGGCACACGTGTGTGAGCACGTCAGAATTGCAGTACATGTCATGATTACATTTTTCTATCAAACCCCAACAGTGTGTCCCCAGGCGCAGGGTGAGGAGGACAGCAGGATTGCTCCTCGTGGGTATCTGTATGGCAGGCAGCAGGCCTAAACACATACAGCACACTGGGCTTGGACAGCACATACAGAGTACACCACAGTATGTGCTGAGTCCTCCTTTACATATGTTTAACTCACAACACTAGGGAGCTAATCCAAAACAATATAGTTGAATCCCCCAGACAGACAGAGCTAGGCTATATCAGGAATAGCAATCACAGCAGTGACCTTGGGGTTGTCCCGACCACACGCTGTAAAACAGCTGATTAGAGAGGACCAGGCCTGATCCTCTAATCAACAGCCTACTGACTGCTTTCAGATTCTACTGTGGGCCAACAGACACAGCTACCACAGCCTCCAGAGCTTCTCAGCTAACCCCATGACCACTCTGGGTTCTCCATAATATATGGTTGAATGAAGTGGGAGGAGAGAGAGCATGTAAAGGGTTGATGACAGAAAAAGGATGGGGCCAGTTGGAGAGGAAAGTACTGGACGGTGAGATTGCATTGATATACTACATGACAAAGAAAGGCTTGCCAACTGTGGGAAACAAAGAAGGTGACATGAGGCCTTCACGGGTTATTGCGGCTGTCCTCCACCCACAGGGGCCAAAGAGACCAGGGGCTCTGCTCTCCTCTCTGGCCCCTTGACGGCATGTAGCCTCCTAATGTTTCATGTGGGCCAGCCCAGCCCATGCAGGCCCACTGCCGGCATATGATTCCCATTATCTCCATGTAACCCTGGGAGTCAGTGGAGCAGGACTGGGCCTCATGAGGCTGGAGGGGGCAGTGGAGCAGGACTGGGACTCATGAGGGTGGAGGGGGTGGTGGAGCAGGACTGGGTCTCCTGAGGCTGGAGGGGGCGGTGGAGCAGGACTGGGTCTCATGAGGCTGGAGGGGGTGGCGGTGGCGGGAGGCAGGGAGAGGTAGAATGTTCTTCTTTATCTGGCAACTCAGATTAGTTTACTGATTAGTAGTGGCACAGAGTTATGGGTGAGACAGCACCGCGGTGGAGTGTGTGTGTGTGTGTGTGTGTGTGTGTGTGGGGGGGGGGGGGGGGTCTTAACAGTGGACCATGTGAGTGATGGGGTCAGGAAGAGGAAGACAAGTGTCCACCAGGACCCTAGACCACTGAGGTGTACACATGCGTGTGTATGCATATGTTCGAGCATGTGTGTGTGCGTGAGTACAAGCATGTGTGTAGCCTAGGTGGCTACGGGGGGTCATGGGAGAGGGCAAACACAATGAGAATTACCCCCTGGAGCCATGTGATCCAATTCCACATGATGCAGAACCAGGAGCACCCTGGGACTTATGTTGGCAAAATTAGTCAATTGGTCAATGCTTACTGACTCATTTTATTTCAAGTATGGGTCGCTGGAGCCCAATATGGTGACCGGAGTATGGGTGAGTCGGTGTGTTGAAAGGAGTGGTTGTATGGAAAGCGAATCAGCTAATTGAGCAGATTTGTTGCCACTCGAGACCGTTTTGCTGCTGCATCATGGTCATGTCGCCGACGGTATTAATATTGATAACCATCTAGATGTCACCTTGATACATACAGTACATACGGTCTACTACTCAATAGGGAGGGAATGAACGGCAACAACACTGGGACACAGTGCCCTTCGTGCACGCTTGCCAAGCACTACTGTCCGCCAACAGCTTGGGAAGTAGCTACCTAGTAGCCAATATCAGGGTGACAGTCACAGTAGGCACATGCATAGAACTCATGAAGCAACAGTACACCCATCATCAGTACTTACATGACTGAAAATGAACAATTATTTGTGTAAAACTAAGTGTGAAATAAAAAATTGGAAGCCCCTTACACTTCAGTGTTGTGATGATACTTTTTCTAATCTCTTTGGATTACAACCAAATTATGATAAATGTACTATATTACGTATTGGATCACTAAAAAATATAATTTTTACATTACCATGTAGTTTACCAATAAAATGGTCTGATGGATATACTCGGAATACATATCCCAAATGAAATAAATGATCTCACTCCAATACATTTTAATAGAAAGTTAGCAAAAATAGATAAGATCTTGCTACCATGGAAAGGTAAATACCTGTCAATTTGTGGAAAAACCACCCTGATTAACTCTTTAGTATTATCCCAGTTTACCTATTTGCTTATGGTCTTGCCTACACCTAGCGAACAGTTTTTTAAATTATATGAGAAAATAATATTCAATTTTACTTGGAAAGGCAAGCCAGACAAAATTAAACGGGCTTATTTATATAATGAATATGAATTCGGAGGACAGAAATTAATTAAATATTAAAGCATTAGACCTATCACTAAAAGCTTCAGTCATACAAAAGTTATATTTAAATACAAACTGGTTCTCTAGCAAATTAGTAAGATTGTCTCACCCCATGTTCAAGAATGGCCTTTTTCCCTTATTCAGATTACAACCTCTCACTTTCAGTTATTTGAAAAGGAAATAATCTCCCAAATATCACTATTTCTAAAACAAGCCATAGAAAGTTGGTTGCAATTTCAATTTAATCCTCCAGAAATGACAGAACAAATAATGCAACAAATATTGTGGTTAAACTCAAATATACTAATTGATAAAAAACCATTATCTTTTGAAAAAATGTTTAAAAAAGGTATAATCTTCGTAAATGATATCATAGGTAGGACTGGTGGAATTATGTTGCACATGCAGCTAACAACAACATATGGAAATGTCTGCTCTACCCAAAATTACAACCAAATAATTGCAACATTACCGCAAAAATGGAAGAGGAAAGTGGAAGGGGGAAAAAGTAAGGAACTTGTCTGTCGGCCCTGCATTAAAGAACATAATTGGTTAAAGAAAATTGTGATAAATAAAAAGGTGTACCAGTTTCATTTAAGGACCAATGGATTGACAGCCGTCCCATACAGATAGCAAAATAGTTGGGAAGAGATTTTTGACGTACCGATTCCATGGCATAGTGTTTATGAACTGATACGCAAAACGACGCCGGATTCAAAACTTAGAATTTTTCAATTTAAATTATTATACAAAATTCTTGCTACCAATAGAATGTTATTTATATGGGGGATACAATCTTCCCAGCTCTGCAGATTTTGCTGCGAAGAGACACAATCATTAGATCATTTGTTTTTGTACTGTCCATTTGTAGCTTGTTTTTGGTCACAGGTCCTGGAATGGCTAAAGGATTACAATATTTACCTGGAGCTCACCCTGCAGATAGCACTACTGGGTGATCTGAAAAGTCATAGTCAATCGATCAATAATATAATAATACTTTTAGCAAAAATGTTTATTTTCAATTTACAATCTGTAGAAACAATGAGAATAGAAGGGTTCAGAACTTTTGTGAAACATCACAGTACAGTTGAAAAATATATGGCAAATAGAAATCCAATATGCATGGTGTTAAGAGATAGATGGGAGGTGTTGAATGGAGCTGAAGGATGGGACTAATAACAACTAATAACAACAAGATAACTAATGTAAAGAATACTGTGTCCATAATAAGTATATAGGTTATAGGTTGAGAGCTTTTGTGAAAGAGCACAGTTAGAAAGATATGGCATTTAGAAGCAAACCGGATGGACATCATGAAAATGATCAGAGAGGTTAAGGGTAGAGGAAGTTCAGGAGTAAAAACAAACAAAATAGAATTATTGTCAAATTGACTGTGTCCATAAAATGTATATAGTATGTATAAGCTGGAAGTAGAGGCCTAAGCTTTGTTGTTCACTAGTTTACTCCAATCAGGGAAGAGGTGGTGGGGTTGGAAAGTAATAAAGGGAAATATATTTTAAAAACGGATATGTAAATGTATGTATATGTATTTATATGTATGTATGTGTATATGTATATATTTGCGAGAAAAAAACCATATGGGGGATGCAGACAATTACATTGATGGAAGTTACAATCTATCTGCAATATTAAAGCTGATCTACCCCCCCAAAAAAATCTAAAATCAAAAAATCAAATCTGAAATACGACTCAGACTCATCCTCTAGCTTCCAAACAGAAGTCCAAACTCTCGCGGTACGGTAGCTCAATATACAGTAGGCGCATTGTAAGAAACAAAACAAAAAACAGCTCAATCTAACCGTCAAACCTATAGCAGAGTGCTTTCGACACACCCACTCCTTTCCACACGCCCACTACCTTCCTTTCGACACACTCACTCGCCATATTGGGCTGCAGCTACCCCCTTCTCTTTAATTTGCTTAATGAACTTGAGGAATCTCAAAACCCTAGTAGTTCTACATTGGCACATTTTTGTGGTACATCTTCAACTTACATTTGCCTCGTGTAACATTTTTACCATGGTGCTATGCTTGTTAAATCATGTTTAATATCTGAGTAGATTATACTGCAGCAGATGGCTGACTCGTTGGCTCCAATTCAAGTTTAGGTCCAAAAAGGGATCATATTAAATGGCAATAATAATTCAATCTATAAATCCCTAAAGGAAAAAATAGCTAAATATGATCCAATTCCATAGGGGACGTACTGTACCTAACAGTAATTCTAACCAGATTCTCCTTCATCACAGAAGTTGGGTCTGGGCAGAGGCCCCTTGGCTCTCAATGGTCGATTACTGAGAAGGATTTGAAAGGGCAGTACTGGTAATGGCA